CGGACTGCAGACGTCCGAACGGGTCGGGAGAATGAAACATCACTTCAGAGAGGAATCAGAGAGAGAAAGCAAGAGAGGTCGGCCGATCAGACGGCCACTTCGGAAATCGAGGAGACCATGGGTTTTTTAATTTTGTATTTATAGCCCTTCCCTAACACTTTTGCATAAAAATCTCTACTTTTCAATTTCCATATGTATATATATAAAATTACATAAGGGGGCCCAGGGCCGCGTCTGAAGCATTCGCGGGAGCCCCTAGCAAAACTTAAACAAAAATCTTAAAGGGGCCCTCCTATATTCCAAATTTTTTAAAAAAAAATAAAAGTGATTGCGACACTAAAGTAAACTTTAGGGATGCCTACATAAAAAATTATATACAAATACTAAAATACATAGATCAACAAATAATATATATTTATAAAAGTTATATAAAATTACCTTAAAATTTGAATAGTTGAACTCAAACAATTTCAATCAACAGACGCTGAATCGCTAAGAGATGCCACTTTTATTCTCTTCTTCCTAATTCAATAGACAAAAACAAAGTTTTGGACTTAAAATTTTTTTTGGAACACGATGCAATCATTAAGTATGCGATCACTACGCTACTGATTTCATTGTTCAGGGTACCGGCAACTTTGATTTAACAGCCTGTATGCATATTATGTTTCTTCGTTCAATTGGATTAATCACTAATCATCAAAATATACTAAGTATAGTCTGATTCATAAATTCATAATAATGTTATGCACAGATCATAATATATGTTAGTGCACAGATTCATACCTTTGTTTATACAACTAATTCATGCTATGTTAATAATGGTTATGCACAGATTCGTGCCTATATAGAATCAATAACAAAGCAAAAGTATTATTAGTCATGAAGTTGATGAAATAAAGATATTATGCCTATTCTGAAGTATAGTCTGTTATCTGTATGAGAAATTATAGAAATATTCAATTATTCAATATACCTTAAACCTTTCGTATATATATATATATATATATAGGTTATATATAATATATATATATATATATTGATATATATATCTTCAACGATCACCTAAACATACGTATGAGCAATCGGGTAGGCTGTAATGTGCCCATCTAATAGGTCTGCAATAATGCCTTATGTTGCGCGTCTAGAACCTATGCCGGAAGCGTGCTCGGACAACCAAACCAGTCCGCCGCGAGCCACCGAGAGAACGGAAACTAACCAAACACAAGCACAATCCACATCCAAAATATGCATAAAGTCAAACCAAACACAGATATACGTGATTGGCAATTGCCTACGTCCACGGGGAGAGGATGGGGAGATTCCACTAAATCAAGGAGAGTACAAAGGGTTACAATCTCACAAATCACTCAAATAAACCTAAACCAAATCTCTCTCCTTGCTCACAAGTTCTCCCCCCTCTCAATATGCTCAGTACAATTCTCAAAACCTCTGATATTAAACCCTAGAAAATCGTGTTTCATTATATATCACAATAACAATCAACACACGAGTAGGAAACCAAGCCCAAACTCAGACCCGCAAACGCGGTCGGCCGTCGGCGCCAGTCGCGGTCCGTAGCCAACGCGCCAGTCGCGGTCCATAGCCAACGACAGAAAATTGAAAACCATTATACGCGCGGGGCGCGGGCGCGGCCCCCCGCGGCGGGACGCGCGGGCGTCGCCGGGCTTCGCGCCCGTCGCCGCGCCAGCGACGATCCGTCCGGCTAAAAGTCCAATACATTTCCCTATGCTCGGCACGTTGCGTCGACCGACGCGCGCATTCGCGGTCGAACCGCGCGCCTTACGCGGTCGCCTGCTTCCAAATGCCTGTCAGCTTCATTTTTCCTGAACTCTCAGCTTATAAAGATGTGAGTGAATGAGTTTATATAGTAAAATCAAGCGATACAAGTGCATCAATGTTAGCCAGGGCCGGTCCTGAGCATTCGGGGGCCCTAGCAAAAACTTAAAACAAAAATCTTAAAGGGGCCCTCCTATATTCAAGATTTTAAAAAAAAAAAATAAAAGTGTTGCACCTAAGTAAACTTTAGGGATGCCTACATAAAAATTATATACAAATACTAAAATACATAAGATCAACAAATATTATAATTTATAAAGTGTTATAAAATTACCTTAAAATTTGAATATTTAACTTCAAACAAATTTCAGATCAAACACGCTTGAATCTAAAAGATGCACTTTTATCTCTATCTTCCTATTCAATAGACAAAAACAAAGTTTGGACTTAAAGATTTTTTTGAGACACCCGATGCAATCATTTGAAGTATGGATCACTAGCTAATGATTTCATTGTTCAGGTACCGCCACACTTTGATTATACAGCCTGTATGCATATTATGGTTTCTTGTTTCAATTGATTAATCACAATTCAATCAAATATACTAAGTATAGTCTGATATCATAAATTCATAATATATGTTATGGCACAGATTCATAATATATGTTATGCACAGATTCACACTTTGTTTAATACAACTAATTCAATGTAATGTTAATAATGTTATGCACAGATTCGTGCTGTATAGAATCAATAACAAAGCAAAAGTATTATTATGGTCATGAAGTGATGAAACAAAGATATTATGCTATCTCAAGTATAGTCTGTTATTCTGTATAGAATTAATAATATATTCAATTATTCAAATATACTATATACCTTGTAACCTTGACGGAGTCGGCTGGCCAGAGGAGGCGCCAGATTGCAGACAGAGACAGCGGTCTCCAAAGGGCAAAGGCGCTGGCGGCGCAGGTCGCGTTTGCCTTGCTGTGAGGAGGACGGAGGGAGTCTCGGAGACGGCGTCCGTGGAGTTTGACGATGGAGGAGCGGACTGCAGACGGTCCGAACGGAGTCGGGAAGAAGAAACATCACTTCAGAGAGAATCAGAGAAGAAGAAGAGAGGTCGGCGATCAGACGGCCACTTCGCGAAATCGAGAGACATGGGTTTTTTATTTTGTATTTATAGCCTCCCCTAACACTTTTGCATAAAAATCTCTACTTTCCAATTTCCATATGTATATATATAAAAATTACATAGGGGGCCCAGGGCCGGTCCTGAGCATTCGGGGACCCCTAGCAAAACTTAAACAAAAATCTTAAAGGGGCCCTCCTATATTCAAGATTTTTTTAAAAAAAAATAAAAGTGTTGCACCTAAGTAAACTTTAGGGATGCCTACATAAAAATTATATACAAATACTAAAATACATAAGATCAACAAATATATATAATTTATAAAGTTATAAAATTACCTTAAAATTTGAATAGTTTAACTTCAAACAAATTTCAGATCAACACGCTTGAAATCCTAAAAGATGCACTTTTATCTCTTCTTACCTATTCAATAGACAAAAACAAAGTTTGGACTTAAAGATTTTTTTTGAGACACGATGCAATCATTGAAGTATGGATCACTAGCTACTGATTTTCATTGTTCAGGGTACCGCACTTTGATTAACAGCCTGTATGCATATTATGGTTTCTTGTTTCAATTGATTAATCACTAATCATCAAAATATACTAAGTATAGTCTGATTCATAAATTCATAATATATGTATGCACAGATCATAATATATGTTAGTGCACAGATTCATACTTTGTTTATACAACTAATTCATGTATTTAATAATGTTATGCACAGATTCGTGCTATATAGAAATCAATAACAAAGCAAAAGTATATTAGGTCATGAATGATGAAACAAAGATATTATGCCTATTCTAAGTATAGTCTGTTATCTGTATAGAATTATAGAAATATTCAATTATTCAATATACCTTAAACCTTTAACCTTGACGGAGTCGCTGGCCAGAGGAGGCGCAGATTGCAGACAGAGACAGCGTCTCCAAAGGGCAAAGGCGCTGGCGGCGAGGTCGCGTTTGCCTTGCTGGTAGGAGGGACGGAGGGAGTCGCCGGAGACGGCGTCGTGGAGTTTGACGATGGAGGAGCGGCCTTGCTGGTAGGAGGGACGGAGGGAGTCGCCGGAGACGGCGTCGTGGAGTTTGACGATGGAGGAGCGGACTGCAGACGGTCCGAACGGAGTCGGGAAGAAGAAACATCACTTCAGAGAGAATCAGAGAAGAAGAAGAGAGGTCGGCGATCAGACGGCCACTTCGGAAATCGGAGAGACCATGGGTTTTTTGATTTTGTATTTATAGCCTCCCTAACACTTTTGCATAAAAATCCTCTTACTTTTCCAATTTCCATATGTATATATATAAAATTACATAGGGGGCCCCTGTTTTTTGGGGGCCCTAGGCGCAGGCCTCTCCCGCCTGCCCCTAGGGCCGGCCTTGATGTTAGCTATTTTTGGTGATTGTTTGGCCATAAAATTTGTTGCACTTAGTGGGTCTCAGGTCTTATATGGCACCCATAAGCCCTGGGACGTGAGGAAATTGTATTACAATAGTTAGATAGTTGAAAGGGTGGAACTAGATTTTATATGGGACTAAGTGCTACATCATCTACGATTGAAAGTCACCTTTAGAATCGCCATGGTTTGCTTGTGACGTTGAGATGTACCAATTTTCATCCCATTATGAGAAATGTCGTGCAATTAATTATGATGCCCCCCTAGTACTCCACTTTGAAATTTTACGAAGTTGTTAATGACTCATACAATAAGTTAAAGAGATTCAAGTCAATTTTGGTAGTGGCTTGAATAAAACATTGTGTCGCACTTAATGGGTCCCAAATCTGATAGAGGGTATAGATCTGATAGAGGGTATCAACGCGAATCATGATTGAAATTTTAGGGGTATAAAAGTGTTAATTTAAGATGCTTGGGGTACTAAATTAAAATGTGATTGAAACTTCACGGTATCAAAGTGCTAAAAAGAATATTTCGGGGCATAAAAGTGATTAAATGGGTAAATTGTGGGGTATCAAAGTGAAAATAAGCCCTTAAAAATAAATCGCGATAAAACTTTGGAATTATAAACAAAACCTGAAGAAATAAGCAATCAATACAACAAATTGACATATCCTAATCATAATTTTAGTACTTCTAATTTTACCATTTTTAGATAACAAAGGAGTTGCAAAGGTCTAGAGCAAAATATTCCCATACAACTAGATATGAGCTCAAGCTGCAGATACTAAGCAAATGCTCAGCCTACCGTATGTGGATCTCCAAGCCAGATCCAGAAACAACAAAATTTGGCTTTAGAGTACAGTTTAAAACATCCATCGACGCACATAAGGACTTGTATATATTACATGCAAACTATTCACCATCACGCTAGCTATGAGTCCTATCAGCAGATATGTTCTCAACAAAAGTCTACTTCACGATACTTGCAGCGCCTGATTCTTTCAACAAATAGAGCTGGATGCAGCCCGAGCAATGTGAACTTCCATCGTAAAATTTCCACGTTTCTTGACAAGCTCAAAGAGGCAAACATCTCCATTCTGCAAGCGGCTGTCATGGGCGAAAGTATTCCATTTTCCACCAAACCATGAAGTAGAATTTCCGACAATGTAACTTACTTGCCATTTCTTCCTGTGACCTGGGATGCCAAGAGAAACTTGCATGCTTCGACGAGGAAGATGATTCGCTGCAAAGCTAGATGGAATTATCTACAAAAGATAACATGAAGAGTGAATAAAGGTGTACCTTGAAAGAATAATAAGCATAACAATAAAAATAAGGGTAAATTTTACAAAACTACCAACTTTGGGGTTTTGCACAAAACTATCATGAACCTTTTAATAGAAGAAACAAATGTAATTTGTTTTATTACAAAAAACTATCATGCATATCAGCAATTAGGATAATATGTCACTGGCTTCACGTGTTACATATTTGCACATGTTTGCTCTTATGTTTTTCAATTATCTTCCATAGTACCCTCTCCCTCTCTCCTGTTTGAAGGGTTATAGTAGTTTTTTTTAATAAATGCCATGATATTTTTTGCGAAACCACCCAAAAACGTTCATAGTAGCCTGTGAAATTTACACTAATATTAATAAGCATACAAAAAAAATACAAAATAGTATATATTGACTTTCTAGCAAGAATAAAAAGCCTAATAACCTATGTTGCATGGGTACTCATGTCAGGAAGCCATACTCGCCTGACATAAATCGACAACACTCCTTGGGTACTTCTATTATGCAGCATATTCATACCGGACATCGAGACTTCTTGGTTATATACATACATTTATTTAGATGTATATTCTATTATATAATACATGCTTTAATTTACACACTTCTTGAACATATATCCTACCCTTCATATCTACGTTACGCCAACAACATCTGGGCTACTAAACCCTTATCTAAAAATTCATCTGGGCTACTGAATCCTTATCTGACACATGTGAATGAAAATATATTATCGATGTTATGTAAATCATTAATCCAGTAAATGTATACGGTGTCATCATATCCTACTTTTTACAAATTTTCCATGTCCCTCTCCAGTATCCACACCCACACCCATGGAACAGAGCTCAAAACAGTTTACTAGTTTTGAGAATTTTTTTTTAACAGCGAGTAGATCCTACAATAACAAGATGTCAACAAACATGCAAATTGCAAGGTCAACCATTCATCATCTTTGCTCTGGAACAATAGTATTAAGGATAAATATTAGTTTCCTTTCTTATTCTTATTTAATATTCTTTTCCATGATTATGTACATATTTACTTTCCTTAGAAGTCCTGTAACTTCCTTATTGCACTCCTAGATTGTAGCTTGCCTTCAACGGCATTTGTGTATATATTCTCGGCTAATATGCCTCAATGAATACATAGAATCACTCCCTTTACATGGTATCAGAGCGTTCGTAGATTTCTCTACGAGATCCAACCTTCCGCCCTTTTGAAAAAAAAAACTCTCTCTCGGTTGATTCCTTAATCCGCCATGGCCATCACCGCCACCACTAATATCATTCAAATCAACGCACCAACCAATTTCCCTATCAAACTCACCTCCGCCAATTTCCCAGTTTGGCGTCGTCAGGTTGAGGCTACCCTCATCGGCTTTGGACTCTTGGGATACGTTGATGGAACGCTTGAAACTCCATCTCCCTTCACCGATGTGAATACGAAAGTCGTCAATCCATGCTATACGATCTGGTATCGCCAAGATCAGGTCATCATCAGCGCTCTCCTTGGTAGCTGCTCCGAGCCAATTCAGCCGCTGATCTCGTCGGCCATCACTGCGCGGCATGCGTGGGATACTCTCATGGCCAGCTATGCAAACGCCTCTCCTGGCAGGATTCTCTCTCTCAAAGCCAAGTTGGCCCGTAACCCACGTGGCACCCGCTCCATCCCGGAGTATCTCAAAGACATGCAAGATATTGCCGCTGATCTCGCATTGGCAAAATGCCCGGTATCTACTATCGATCTTATTGTTTCTATTTTGAATCAACTTGGTGATGACTATCGCCCTATTGTTGCTGCCCTACGTGTTCGGAACACCGATACCACTATGTTTGAACTCTCCGAAATTCTATCGGATCATGAGCGCCTGCTCAAGGAATCGGAGGAGGCCAGCAGCGCTTTCTTAGCCACGGCTAATGCTACTCAGCGGTTCTCCTCGTCACATCACGGTGGACAGTTCGCGGTGGTCGTGGCCGCGGCTCCTATGGTCGCTCGGGGCAGCGTGGCGGTCAGTCGCAGCACAGAGGAAATAATCGGCCTGGTCCGATTTGCAAATTTTGTAACTTTCTTGGTCATGTTGTTCGGGACTGCCGTAAGTTAGTCTGTTTCCTTCGGGATAACAACTTTCAGCAAACATATTGATAATCATATTTTATTACAATTTTATACCCTCATTATCTATTTTATATGAATAAATATACCACTAATAATTGTTTTTATCTTTTAATTGCAGGTTAATGAAGAATAAATCTCAAACTCCCATCTCTCCAACAAAAAGCCCATAATTTAATGAAGAAATGAAGCCATGAAGCCCAATGAATTCTGAAGCAAAGAAGCCCATTGGAAAATCAATTTCCAATTTATCCAAAAGCCCAAGCTAAGATGAAGGATTAAAAGAAATATCAAAGCCCAAAAGCCCAAGCAAAAGCCCAAAATACAAGCCTAATAACCAATGGAAGAGGAGTTCTGCGGACAACAACTAGAAGCAGGCAGGCATCGATGCCTGCATCGATGGGGGCATCGATGCCTGCATCGATGGAGGCATCGATGCCTGCATCGATAGAGGCATCGATGCCCGCAGCGATGCCTGTATCGATGCCAGCATCGATACCCCTATCGATGCTGGTATCGATACGCTGGGTAGTTAGTTACGAATCTAAGGCTGAATTTTGTTATTTTTGGTTAAGATTTCAATCCAATGGCTCTCATTCACTGATGTTTACTATAAATAGGGGTAGAGAGTGAGGGGTTAGAGGTGTGAAAATTTTTGTAACTCCTTTTGGAGAGGAGGGCTACTCTTAATTGAGAAGACCTTCTAAAATTATAACTTTTTGTTGCAATTAATAATAATAATTTTTTCACCACTTTAAATTTTTCTCTTCTTCTCTTTGTTGGATGATGAAGATGAAGATGAAGATGGAGAATTATTTGAAGGTTTGCATTTCTTTTCTTTTTCTCTTTTATTGCTTATTAGTTTAGATTTATTTCTATGCTTGTAGTTAGATTTTATTTTCTTGTTAAATAGCCAAGAGGCTAGAACCCTCTTGCCTTAGCTTTATTTCATGCTTATAGAGTAGATTTATTTTCTTGTATTTAATTCTTGTAATTTTATTTTGTAGTTTAGATTTTGCAATTTATTTTGTAGTTAGATTTTAATTTCTTGTACTATTCACCTTGAGGCTAGAACCCTCATGGGTTTAGTTGTTTTTTTTTTTAGGCTAGAACCCTCTACGGAATCACCATTTTCTAAGAAGTGGGTTTAATTTTAGATTACCCATATCTATAATTGAATCCACCATCTTTAATTTCTTGTATTTTCTTTTATTCTTGAATTTTATTTTTGATTTGTTTCTCAATTTTATTCATTCTTCTTTCTTGCCTTATTGATCATATTTATTCTCAAACACATTGATCTACACACTATCACTCTCATTATCTCTCCACAATCATATTCACTCATCACTCCTTTTTGTCACGCACACAACATAGGGATCGATATCTTAAATACTATAACTTGACACGGTTGTGCACTTGCAACCTTTTTGGTACATGTTTATGCCGCATCAAGTTTTTGGCGCCGTTGCCGGGGAAGGTTCTTAAGTAGGTTTTAATTATTTTGGGTCTTTAACTTGTGTGTTTTTTGTGAAGGAAACGCTTGGAGCTTGAAGATCGCGGATTAGAGAATTAGGATTTGAAGATTTGCTTTCGGGTAAGTCCTCTTTCTAGTTTTTAATTCCACCCTTTAGCTACTTCCTCACAATTAGAGAAAATTAGGACTTAAAAAAAAGGATTTTATTTTTCGTTGACCATAATAAAATTCACCCTCCACTTTGATATTTACTAACAAGATAATAAATTCAAACAAATTCCCCCCTTCTCATTTGTTTGATTGTTAACTCTAATTATTAAAAAAAAGATTTTTTTTTTCCATCCTTTTTAGTTGCTTTTAATTCATAGGGTTGCATTTCATATTGATAGTAGGAATTCACCAAGTGATTTGAGCATCTTGATTTGGCACACACTTAAAAATATTTAAGGGCAAAACCCCATAATCAAGATAAGGTAAGAGATTTCATCACCCTTGATGTTGTATGAATGAGCTACACATAATTCAAATTTTCATGTTGATAATTACATTGGCACGAAACAATGTAATCCGAAACCAATTTTCATTTTTATTTTATTTGGATCGACATGAAACCAAACTTACCCTGAGAAAGTGTAGTATTGCAAAAGTGAAAAACGCTTGAAAAAATAGTTTCATAAACCAAGATGATTGATTAAAAGTCAGCTACAATGACACAAAAGAGAATATGGGATTTGTTCCTAATCATTGATAGACTTCATAAAATGACCTCTTTTTTTTTGCTTATGCTATTATAGATAAGTATTATGTGTATACATTTTGTCCATTACAGTGATTTCTCTCATCTTATCTAGCTTGTTATATCTCACAACATAGTTAATCAATGACTTCACTTTAGCTTCTATTGCAAGATTATTTATATGTAATTTTATAATAAGTTTATGGTTCCTTTAATATTTGAAGTATAAGTCATGAAAATTTATAAATAGTTACTAATTTTAAATTTATGATACTTACTAATTTGTCTTGGTCTTCCATGGAGAATGTTGCTTTACTTGGGACAGTTATTCAATATGTTCTTTAAGAGGAACTTGGTCGACACTTCTTTGATAGATATACATTTTGTAAACGTCAATTCAAGTGATTCATAGACGTTTTTAAATTTTGGGTTTATTACCCTCACTTCTCCATTTGAAATAAAAACAGTTTGATTCTTTTAAAGGATATCTCTGAACTTTTCAATAGTTTCTCCATACGTAACTCATTGTATATTTTACCCTATAAATATTATTAACATAAGAGATTAATGTTGTAAATTATAATTAATTAATGTAAGCTATTATATTATAGTCCTTTATCAGTTTTATATGATTTAGTCTCC